CACACACACACACACAGACACACACACACACACACACACACACACACACACACACCACCACCGCCACCACCACCATCGCCATCACGCACGTACGCACCTGGCCCACCACCAAACCACCAAGACGCCACACCACGTCACACCACAGCACACGCGCACACACGCACACACACACACACATACACACCACCACCACAACAACCACAACCACGCACACACGCACGCACGCACGCGCACCACCACCCACTACGCACACGCGCGCGGAGCCACAGGTCCGCTACGACACGCGTCCGCGGATAGAGAAAATCAGCGCCATGGTAAGGGATGGGAGGGAGGGGTAGGATGTCAGATGTTGACGCGAGCGCACCTAACTTGCCTCCTCCCCCTCCCCCTCCCCCTCCCCCTCCTCCCCTCCCCCTCCCCCTCCCCCTCCCCCTCCCCCTCCTCCTCCTCCTCCTCCTCCTCCTCCCTCCTCCTCCTCCTCCTCCTCCTCCTCCTCCTCCTCCTCCTCCTCCTCCTCCTCCTCCTCCTCCTCCTCCCGTCGAAGGGCGGCACGGTGGACTGGATGGCTCCCGCAGCGGCAGCGGCAAGCAGGTGCGCCGCGGGGGCGAGGAAGCTCCCAGGGCCGGCGTGCGGCCGCGGCCCTACGGCGCGTGCAGCAGCCGACGACGGCGACGGCAAGTCCTCGCCAGACAGTGCCGCCCAGCGAGGAGGCGAAGGTGCAGCGAAGCCTTCGGTCGGGCCTGCCCCCCCACAGGCGGATTTTGGACGAAAAATAAAAAATACCCCCCCAAAAAAATAGTCCGAAAACGGCCGGAAATAGTCAAACAATCGTCCCCAGACTGTGTTTTTACTATTTTTGAAACTCCCCCTGTAGAGGGACAGGCCCGATTCAAGCGAAGCCGCAGCGGCTCCCAGCCTCAGGACGACCGAGGTGGTGAGCCCGAGGCGACGGCGCAAACAGGAGTGCACACCCCTCGTGGTCGTCCTCCATCCCTTCCCCTGCCGAGGCGCCGTCACACCTCGACGTCGCCTCCCCACGTGACCCCGGGGCCACCCGCCGTGCCCGACTCTCACGGCAGGCTCTCAGACCTTGCTGCCTGCGGCCTGGGGTCACCAAACAGACGCAGAAGCGGCCTGGCCGAACCTGACTACCTACTGGCCCACCCCAATCCAGCCCGCAGGCCCGAATTTCGGGTGGGGTGGGGGGGGGGGGGACGGGCTTCACATGTGTTTTTGCCCATGTTCCCCCGACCCGACCCTTCCCCCCACACTGCGCCTGGAGGGCAGATTGGGGCCTTCGGGTCGGGTTGGGGTGATCTGGCGGGTGGTGACGACCTCGCACCGCCCCTGCTCGCGCGAGCTCCTCCGGTGCCGCCCCCGCAGGAGCACGAGCGCGCTCCCCATCGACAGCGGGGCGAAGACCGCCTCCCGCCGTGCCGCGCGCAGAGTCGGGCCAGACAGCGACGGAGGGCGTCGCTTCGGAGTCCAGAAGTGCGCCTGGAGTTGGAAAGTTCCCTCGGCGGGTGGCAACAAGGGAACAAACAGTGGCAGAAACGTAAAAACTCGGAGGTCCGCGCGGATTTCTCGGATCGGCGCTGGGCCTCCCGGCGGCGCCTCCGGCGCCGCCCCTGGCGCGCGGAGCGCGCTAGGGAGGGGGGTCCAGCACCGATCCGAGAAATCCGCGCGGACCTCCGAGTTTTTATGTTTATGCCACTGTTTGTTCCCCTAGGTAACAGTCCGCGGCGTACCTGCTCCTGCACATCCACTTCGGCACCGCCTGCACCCCGGGCTCCGCCCGCTCTGGCCGCCTGAGGCCCCGCCTTCCTGTGCCCTGTCTCCCTAATTAAAGCTGTGCGTAGCCCGCCTAGCTTTTAGCGGAAGAGGTTCACTCTCGCCCCGCAGGTAAAAAAAATGGTTCCCCTAGGTAACGGGGGGTGGCAGAACTGGGGGGTGAAGAGAAGGGCCCCTTTCGGGCCCTTTGCTGCACCCCCCCTCGGGGTCACCCCCAAATTGCCACCCGCCCAGAAGTTCTGGTTCCCTTTCCTGCTGGTCCTGCGTCTTCGCCAGAGCTGTTCAGTCGCCAGCACAGTCCCGCCTCAAGCAGGGATGCTCTGCCGCCGTTCGGCTTAAGCGCTGGGGCGTATTTAACGTACATTGAATAATAAAAAAGCCCGATATCTATATATATATACATATATAGATGATTGTCGCAATGCTTTCTCTCGTCAAGTTTCCGACCCCGAAATTATAGTTTCTCCTCCTCCTCCTCCTCCTCCTCTGGATCCTCCTCCTCCTCCTCCTCCTCTGGATCCTCCTCCATCCTCTCCCCCTTTGGGTATGTAGCACGGTTTCCCAGCCGCTATTCCACTGCGCGCTCCCTCACATGCCTGATCTGCTCAACTCGCCTCGGCATTGCTGCTGGATGGGCTGGTTTGAGGCACGCGGCGTCTAGAATGCAAGAAAAGCGAAAAGCTTAGAGAAGAGAAGAAGCGCAGTAGTAGGATGGGGAAGTGGACCAAGTGAGTTATATAAGGGGATCGGAAAAGAATGGAAGTTCGAAAGGAGGAAAGGATGGAAACGAATAAACAACACAACGATGATGTATCGCGATTCCGATCCCCGCCTCCTGCACCTCCTGTTCCGTTCCGCCGTCCCACATGCCCTGCTCCATTGGGTTTCCTTGTTCGAGTTGTGATGATACGTCTGCCGCAAATCCGTACGTACTCAACGCATCAGTGCAATGTTCCAACTACGAATGACGCCAACAACGCTCCCAGCTTCCACTCCAAAACCAGCAATCCATCAACCAGTCCTCCTGCTCCTCCTCCTGCCGCGCTATCATCGTTACAATACGTCTCCTGCTCCTCATCCTGCTCATCCTGGCTCCCTTCCCTCCTTCTCTTCCTCCTCCTATCTTGATCCCCTATTTGTATGTCCGGCGATGCCCCACGGCCGGCCGATAGCAAACACAAATTCAAGACCTCTCATCCGACGGGTGAGAACCCATGCCAAGCCGACGGGTTTCGTCTCGGCATGGGCCTTTATGCCGCCCATGCGGCAAGCACAAGACGTTGTAGGCCTGGAAATGGGCACCAACACCAAGACAGGGGGCTGCCCCAACAGGGGGGAGATGATCCTAGATTTCGGTGTTGGTGGTAATACTTCGGTCACCTTGGAAGCCAGAATATTACCACCATCGCCGAGATCGGAATCTTCTTCCCTCGGTGGAGGAACACCGCCGATATTGGTGTTGGTGTTAACCTCTAGGCCTGCGAAGACGGGACGCACACCACGTGCGAGCGGCCCACCGTGTCGCTCCCGCCTCGGCGCCGCGCAAGACGTCGCCTGCACGTCTCGCTCCCGCCTCGGCGCGGCGCAGAACGCTGTCGCTCACCCGCCCGGGGCCCGCGCGGAGGTGGGCGACTCGCCGCCCACTCGCCCGGGCCCCGTGCATTTCTCGCTCGGAGGAGGCGTCCCCGCGCGAGCGCGGCGCATGGCTCGCTCGCGGCATCGCATGACAACGACAGCGGCAGCGGGCCCGCGCGAGGGCGGGCGAAACGGGTGCGAGTGAGGTGGCAGTGCCGTGTCAGCGCGGCGCAATGCGGCGGCTTCGCCGATCCCGCCCCATGCGCGGCCCGCGGGGCTGTCCCTCCGTCAGGTCGTCGGAAGCGGAACCGCGCGCGAGCGCCCTCCGTTTGCAATGCGGGAACGCGTTCCAGTCCAAATATCAGGTTGCGCCGTAGCTGATCCATGTTGTGGGAGAGAGGCTGGGAGAGAGGTTGGGAGCAGGCGGGTCCCTCTGACTCGGTCGAACTGGCTAACTTGACTCCACCTCCTCCTCCTCCTCCTCATCATACGTACTACGTACTCCAACTCCTCCTGCCTCCTCCTCCTCCTCCGCCTCCTCCTCCTCCTCCACCTTCTCTTCTTGTTCCTCCTCCACCTCCTCCTCATCATAACCATGATCCCCTCCTTTATTCCTCCTTCCTCCTTCCTCCTTCCTTCTTCGTTCATCGTTCCTCCTTCCACCTTGTGGCAATCCTCGCGGTCCTCTCTCCAGCTCCCCTCCTCCCTCCTGCCTCCTCCTCCTCCTCCTCCTCTTCCTCCTCCTCCTACTCCGCCTCCTCCGCCTCCGCCTCCTCCTCCTCCTCCTCCTCCTCTCTCCTCCTCCTCCTCCTCCTCCTCCTCCCCCCGTCCTCCTCGACCTCCTCCTCCTCTCCTCCCCTCCCTCCTCCCCTCCTCCTCCTCCTCCTCCTCCTCCTCCTCCTCCTTCTCCTCCTCCTCCTCCTCCTCCTCCTCCCCCTCCTCCCCCCGTCCTCCTCGACCTCCTCCTGGTCATCCCTCCCTCCTCGTCCTGCTCCCAAAACACCTTCCCCAGGTCCCGCCCGTGCTCCTCGCAGCGCTCCTCCTCCCGGCCCGCTCGTGCTCACCCCGCGGTGCCCGTACGGCTCCCGGTTCGCGATCATCATGACGAGGGCGAAGACGAAGCCGACGACCCGGGAGACCAGCACGAGGAACAGCGAGCTGCGGGGGGTGCGGGCTGCGCCGTGCGGGGCGGCGCGGCGGCGGGCGGAGGGAGAGGAGGGCAGGGGGGGGCGGGGGCAGGCGGCAGCGGGGTGGCGGGCGGGGGGGGGAGGAGAGGAGGAGGAGGAAGGAGGAGGAGGAGAGAGGAGGAGGAGAGAGGAGGAGGAGGAGGAGAGGAGGAGGAGGAGGAAGGAGGAGGAGGAGGAAGAGGAGGAGGAGAGGAGGAGGAGGGGGAGGAGGAGGCGGAGGGAGCGGAGGGAACGAGGTGGCGAGGCGGCAGGCGGAGGGAGGGGGGGGGGCGAGGCGGCGAGGCGGCAGGCGGAGGGCGAGGCGGGCGAGGCGGGGGCAGGCGGCGGGAGAAAGGTGGCGGGCGACAAACCCAAGACTCGTCAATGACGTTGCAGTAAGCCCTCCCTCCAAGTTTCCACTCCACAAGTCCCTACAAAAATACACTTTCACTGAGGGAAATGCCCCGTTGGAAGACAACCGTCTGAGAATCCTGAACCGTGCCTGAACACCGTTCCTGGAACTTCAACGCCGCGAATCAACGTCACTGCTGCGTCCTGACAACCCTGAGTCGCGCCAGAACGCCATTCCTGGGACTTCAACACCGCGAATCAGCGTAACTGTTTCGCACTGACAATCCTACATCGTGCCCAAACACCCTGCCTGGGACGTCAGCCATAGGAATGCTAGAAACTGCTGTAAACTCTTGAAACGAATATGCGCCGGTGCTAAGGCGAGAACCTCATTTTCACAACGGCCCGCCCCCCGTCCGTGGAACTCTTCCTGACTTTGCAAACGAATGTGCGCAGCGCTAGCTCGAAAGACACCGTTTCAAAACCGTATGCCCTCCATCCGTGAAACTCATGCAATGCTTCACAACGACGTGCGCGGCGCTAAAGCACGAGCCACATGTTGAACAAGTACCGCCCCCGCATCTGTGAAACTCTTGCAAACGTTTCAGGTAAATGCGCGCGGCACTGAGGCGAGAGCTGCATTTTGAAAACCGCCCGCCCTCCACCCGTGAAATTCTTGCATTATTCGGTAAACAAATGCGTGCGGCGCTCAGGCAAGAACCACATTTTGAACACCGTCCGCCCGTCCGCCTTCCAGCCGTGAAACTGTTGCAAATTCTCCGATTAAGAAGCATACATGGAGAAGAAATCTCAAGCAAAACCGCCCGGCCCGCCCTACCGACACGCCTCGGGGTGCGACAGGGAACAATTACTTGTAAGGAACAGCGACGGGTGAGGAGGAGGAGGAGGAGGAGGAGGAGGAGGAGAGCATGCCACCTCTCTATTCGCTCACCCTCCTCCACGCAGTCGCATACCAGGCCTTGTTCACCTGGCGCTCAATGTTCGCTCCACCCTTCCCCCCCCCCTGCGCTGCCCGTGCGCCCAGCCTTGTTCACCTGGCGCTCAGTGTTCGCTCCACCCTTCCCCCCACCCCCCACCCCTCCCCTGCGCTGCCCATTCCTGCTGCGCACCGCAGCGTCGCACGCAGCCTCCTCACCCCGCAGGAGGAGGAGGAGGAGGAGGAGGAGGAGGAGGACCACGAGGAGGAGGACCACGAGGAGGAGGAGGAGGCCCCTGCTCGAGGACGAGGTGAGCCGAGGTGGTGGGCCCCTCCCTCTCCCCCAGGAGGGGCGGGACCCACGCTCGGGCCCGTCACGGAGCCCGCACGGCGCCCCAGCTTGGCTTCCCCCTCAGGCATCCGTCCCTCCTCCTGCCTCCTCCCTCGTCTCCTCCCGGTGCTCGTCTGCCCTCCCCCCGCAGTCAGTGAGGGTGAGGCTCGAGGAGGAGGAGGACGAGGAGGAGGACGACGAGGAGGACGAGGAGGAGGAGGACGAGGAGGAGGAGGAGGACGAGGAGGGGGAGGAGGAGGAGGAAAATGAGCAAGAGGAGGAGGAGGAGGAGGCGCCGTCCATCCGTGAAACTGTTGCAAACTTTTACAAAGAATGTGCGCGGCATTGAGGCGAGAGCCACATGTTGAAAACGGCCCGCCCTCCATCCATGAAGCTGCCGCAAATCTCAAGCTTCGGGGCCACAGACGGCGAGGAAGTCCCAAGCGAAGCACCCTGCCCGCCCCAGCGACGCGTCTGGGGGTGCGACAGGGAAGAGATATTTAGAAGATCGAGAATGACTGCACAAAGAGGCCATCGTATGTCTTCTTCGGGGATCTGTTGACCCGGGTCAATCCAGACCCGGGTCAGCAAGAAACCAAAAATTGCAATGCGGGAACAAAACAACTGCAACGCCATATGCGCGGCCGCCCTGCGGCCACGAGCGGCTCGCTAACCTGGGTCAGCCAGAGGGGGTCTTCGCAGGATCCTGCAGGATCCAGTGCCCTAGCTGACCCCCGTTTGCATTGACCCCCGTCTCAAGGCTCCCGATTTCTAGCATGTGAATGGTCGCCGGCCGAAATCGCGTCTGACACTGGCAAGGCCAACCTTCGGTGGCAGTGGGAGGATCCCATACCATCATGCCGGCTCTTGCGAATCGGCGCTGGTCGATGCTAAATCGACGCGAGTCGATGCTAACTCGACGCTAACTGACGCTGAATTGGCGCTGTCTCATCGACTCCCAGACGCTAATCGACGCTATCGCCACTGAAGACGGAATTGCGAAGGTATACGAGGCTCCCATGACCTGCTACCGAACTAAGCCGACAAGAACGCATCAAAGAAGGACTCCAGACCTACGACGCGCAGTGTTTTGAACTTCCGCTACGCGGGCCCCGGAGCTCTCGATCCCTGAAGGGGCCCTGGGACACACAAATTCGCCGGCCCAACGGGCCAGAGGCGTGCCAAGATCTCCGGTAACTACTTTAAAACTATTTCTAGTTCGCGCGCGCGGGGCGGCCCCTGGGGGGGCCCCGGACGAAAAGTACCCCGGCCGATACCCAGCTGACCCCCGGGCGATCCCCAGGGGGGAGGCTATTTTTCGCCACCCCTCACGAGGATCGTGGCCTCCGAGGGAGGGGCTGCCAACGACTGCCTCCCCTCCCGCCCCAAGGGGCCCCCAAGAGCCCCCCAAGAGGCCCCAGGGGAGCCCAATACGCCGCCAAGGAGCCCCAAGACGCTCCCAAGAAGCCCCCAATAAGCCCTCAAGACGGCCCCAAGAGGCCCCAAATAGCGCTCCAGGGCCGGCGGAATGAGCGAAGCGATTAAATAGATAGGCACAAATCCCAGGATTCTCTATGTTTTCCCGTGCTTTCTGGGCTCTCGTCGTCCCCCCGGCTCCCACGACTTCCAAAATTTTCCTGGGAGTCGACGATTCAGTGTGTCTGTTTGCTTCCCCCTCCTGCATCCCTTCCCTGCATGGGAACGAGTTTGCGCCTCTGGGAGATTCTTGACTTGAAGGTCGCTGGGGGGGGCAGCGTTGTTTCCAGGGCCAGATCCCCGTACGCTCGGCGGGCGCGCTTGATGGGTCAACAGCAATCCTCCCAGCCGCCCTTCGCGAGAAGCTCTGATTTCAGGCTTGCTCTTGCCGACGATTGGGCTGCTCATGCTTGCTCCTGCCCTACAAAAGTATTGCCCTCTCCCCCGTCGCCCCCACTTGAACGAAGGATTGCAAAAAAACAGATTTGCAAAAAAAAGGTTGCAAAAAAAACAGAATTTCGAAGGATTGCAAACAAACATGTTTTTTTTGCAATCCTTCGAGACACAGATCGCGTTCGCTGCCCCTCGGCGAGCTTCCATTCTTGACGATCCAGAGTGCACCCCGGCCGCCGGAGGTCGGGCTCGCCCCTTCAAAATTCCTGCCGTCGGCCTGTTGCCGCGCTCTTGTTGGGGGGCGGAAGGATGGAGGGAGCGAGAGACACTGGTATCTTTGGTGATGATAGGCAGCCCTAAAACTCAAGACACAAACGTGAATTCTAAGTATGCTCCTTTTTTTTTGCTCGTCCCAGCGGCTGTGAGTGGGACTCTGCCTCAGGGCCTGGTCACCTGCACGAGCAAGCTGAAACAAAAATAAGCCCAGTTAATCCTAGACACTGGTATCTTTAGTGATGATGGGCAGCCCTTAGATGATCTTTAAAAAACGCTGGGGACGTGTTTTTTTTCCGTTCTGGAGGTCGGCGTTTTTTTACGTTCTGGGAGCCGTTTTTTTTTCTGTTTTGGATCTGCGCCTTGCCGTTTTCGGTTCGTTGTGCGATCAAGTTGAAAAAAAAAAAAAAAAAAAAAAAACGCCCCCAACGTTTTTAAGAACAACTAAGAGGCAGCCATATGCTTTGGACGCCCGACATGGGTACGGAAAAAATGGGTACAATGCCCAACAGCAAATGTTGTCCCAAACCAACAGCGGCCGCTGTTGGGCAGGCGGCCTTCTGTCTCGAGTGGACACAGGCCGCGGCGGCGTGGACGGCGAGTCCTGTTCAGAATGAACAGGAACTGCTGTTGGGCATTGTTTCCATTCTTTCCGTACCCATTTCGGGCGTCCAAATATGTGAACCCTATCCCGACAGGTCAGAACTCTGAAATGCAGACTGGGGGTCAGAATTCGAAGGATGTCCGCAGCCAAGTGAAGCCCAGCAGCGGGGGTGTCCGATACCCCCTCGTCAATTGGATCAGCAGGGGTAGGGTTCGCAACTGGTCGCAGAGATGTGGTTTGTGGCATCGGCATCCGAGCCCTGGAACTCTCAGCCCAATCCCTGGGAGCAATACTTCGTCCCGGAATTGCTCTCTGATCGTCCCGGGCTCCAGAGAAACGGACCTCCAGAAGCCTCAGAACCTGGAAAAAATCTGCCGACGGGACTCAAAATCCCGATGCCTGCATTTGTGAATACCGGGTCCCCTGGAACTCTGGACCACATCCTGGGGACCGGCGTCTCGTCCTCGATTTGTTCGACGACTCTGGGGCCCGGCACGGACCCCCAAACACCAAAAAACTACGAAACCCCTCGGTCTTGATTTTCCAAAACGTTCGATGTCCGGGATCTGTCCATGAAATGTTCAGTGGCAATTCATGAGAGCCTCCCATACCATCTTGTCGGCTCTTGTGAATCGACGCTAATCGATTCTATTCGACGCTAGTCGACGCTGAATCGACGCTGATCGACGCTAAGCGACGCGAAATCGGCGCATCTCATCGACTCCCAGACGCTAATCGACGCTTGTCGACACTACAGGCGGACTTGACAAGGATCTACCAGTCTCCCATGACTTGCGACCGAAGAGGTCTGGGATCTGTCCACGACATGCCGAGGAGGTCCTAGACTTAGGTCGGGCATGTCCCCCCCAGGCGGAGATTGGATGAAAAATAAGACATACTCAAAATGCCCCCCCCAAAAAAAACAAAAATGGTCCAAAGATCGCCCCCAGACTATTGTTCACTATTCTGGAAAATACTCCTCCCGTAGAGGGATAGGCCCGACCTGATCCTAGACGGCGACGGCACAGCGGCGCCAACGCCGCCGCCGCCGCCGGCGGTACAGTCGGCGGTGGACAAACCTCCCTTTAGTAAACCTCCCCTTAGTGAAGACGGCCTGGGACCCAAACCGACTGACCTGGACCCGCAAAAACGACGGCCGCGGCGCCCTCTCGCGAACCGAACACGGCCCATTCCTCAGTCGACGTGTCAGGGTAGGGGGTCTATCCACCTCCGATACAGCGGCGGCGGCGGGGCGGCCTCTGGGCGGCGGCGGGGCGGCCTCGAGGAGGAGGAGGAGGAGGACGAGGAGGAGGAGGACGAGGAGGAGGACGAGGAGGAGGAGGAGGAAAACGAGCAGGAGGAGGAGGAGGCGCCGTGGCGGCGGTGGGGCGGCGGCGGCGCGGCCTCTGGAAGTAGTCGTCGGCCGTGGGCCACTCTTTGGGGTCCGGCTGGGGGCGGCGTCCGGCGGGGGGCGGGCGGGCGGGGAGGGGCACCGGCGCGCGGCGGGGCGAGCTGAGCGCCCACCAGGCCCCCCAAACCTGACCAGGAGGCGTCCTCCTCCTCCTGCTCCTCCTGTTCCTCCCTGCACCTCCTCCGTAGCCATTTTGGCTCAAGCCATTTTGGCTCAAGACCCATGCTTTGGCGGGCTGAGCCCGCATTGGCAAAAACGGATACCGCTAGTCCGCGGCAGCTTTCAACCAGTCAGGAGGTCCCTCTCTCGAGGGGTTCGCGAGCCTCCAACATCCCTTTCCTAGCTCTCGTGCCATGGCTCCTGCTGGCCCTGGTGAGTGGGAGCGCCGCCCGTGGGTCCAGGCCTCCAGGCCCCGTCGCTGGGGAGGCACTATACCCGAGGGAGGAGTTTCGGCTGATAAGTGGGATAAATGGGACAGCCAGCGAGGCAAGCACGAGGAGGATTGGAAGACGGTGGCTGGGCCCAAAGGTGAAATTCTATGCCACCACTGCGGTTGCCGGAAGAACTCAAAAGGATCGATGTGCTGCAAACATTGTGGCCAAAAGCTTGGCTCTCGACCCCAACCTCTGGAAGACCCTGGGGCCCCCAAGGTGTCGGATGAGATGGGGAAGGGAGCGGGCAAAGGGAAGAAAGGTTACAAAGGTGGCAAGGGAGATCCGCTCGGTGGCAAGGGCACAGGCAACCTCTCCTCGGCACTCCCTCCTGGACCTGTTCCCGAAATTCCTCAGGCCAAGGCCATCGAACTACAGCGTTTGGCTCGTGAGGCTGGGGACGCTGTGGGGGCCGCGCGCTATGGAGCCCTGGCGCAGAGAGCGGCTCCGCCCCCGAAGCCGTCGGGGAGGCAGAGGCTCATTGCCGCGGAGCAGAAGCAGGAGAAGCTCGAGAAGCGCCTCAACAGCGAGTTCGAGAAGCTGGAGCGCTGGCGTCGGGCGACTGAAGAGTTGGCAGCCACGGTCGGGGCCCTGGCCGACGAGCTGCAGGCCGCCGACGCCGAGGTGGCAGCCGCCCTGGTGGAGCTCCAGAGCCAGCACAAGGGACCACCAGCGACGGAGTCCAGCGGCCTGGCAAGCATCAGCCTGCGAAAGCTCATTGACGGCGAAATGGAGTTGGCCAGCCTTATTTCTTGTGACGATTTCATTGATGTGGAGGCTGTCAAGGGCAGCTACGAGGTGTCTGAAGAGGACCTACGTGAGCTCGAGGAACGCAAGAACGACGTGGCGAAGCAGATGCAAGAGGTGCTGGGATCGGTGTTTCGCCAAGCGCTGGAGAAAGCCAACTCCGCTCAGGACCAGCACAAGGAGCACCTCAAACGTCTTCAAGCTAAGCGACGACGTACCGCTGATGACGGCCCTGGCGAACAAGCAGCAGCCACTGGGGGGATCGAGCCTGGACCAGGGGTTTCGCCAAGCCCAGAGACAGCGACGCCGTGCTCAACCGCTGAGGCGACGGTGGATGCGCTGGGAAAGGCTGCCCCACAGGTGGACATTCGCTCTCGCGTCGCTGCTGACGGTGGCGTCAAAGCTGCTAAACGGGCAGGCCTTTAGCAACAGCGTGAGCTCGACTCAGGTGGGGGCGACGTGGTCGAGTTCGGCGACTCCCTGTTCTTGGTCTTCGAAGTCGTTTGCCACGTGCGCATCGGCGAAGCCATCTTCTTCGGTTGAGTGGTCTGCGTCGGGGCTGGCTACTCCCTGTGCTGCGGTGTCGCCGTCGGCGCCAGTGTCGGCTACTCCCTCGGCAGCGGTGGCGACGTCGACTTCGCGGGTGGCGTCTACCAGTTTTGTCGGATCGGAGTCCAGGTGCGCCTCGAGCCTGGTCTCCTCAGAGTTTAATTGCGTGGAAGGGCGGCCACGTGTGTCGGCAACAGGTCAGAGCGCCGAGTACGTGACAGCCAGTCAGAACGCAGCCGTCAAGCCCAACCAGAGCTTGGCGGCCCTCCCGTCCAAACCTTTTGTCGGATGCAGGAAGGAAATTTCAGCGTCAGAGCGCGACAGCCAGGTGCTCCTCGAGCCTGGCTGTCTCAGAGTAGATTGTGTGTATCCACCGTGGGAGTCTGGAGTTAGATCGCAAAATCCTGGGGGCAACCGATTCTCGGACGAAGTGCCCACCCAGGTTCAGTCGCCACGGGCTGGGTCTCGAGCCAAGGGAGTCAGTGTTGAGCCACCCCATGGAGAGTCTCAAGCAGCGCTGCAGCAGAAGCAGGTCATCTCCTTGTTGGAAGGGCTCCCTCCTGAGGATCACGGTGACCTAGGTACGTTCCGAGTCGGCACTCTCAATGCGAATACGTGGCCAAGGGCTCGGATCACCATGCCATGGATCGAGAAACAATGCCAGATGCCGCACGTGTTATGTATTCAGGAGACCGTGTTGGACCAGTCGGGGGAAGCAGGAGCCCATCAATGGTCTCGCTCCTGCTCACGGAAGCTGGCGCTGGGTTCTGCCAAGCGCACTGGAGAATCGGCCAGATCTCTCTCAGCAGGAGTTGGCTTGTCTGCGGCCATGGGCATTGGTGTGGCCAAGCTCCAGGTGCCAGAGAGATGGCAGCACCGAGTGGTGATGAGACTCATGACGGTTGGCACGCACTCGTGGATCATCATCGGCTCAGTCTACGGCGTCGACTCCATCGGCCCCAAGGGCGAGAACCTGGAGTTGCTGGAGTTCCTTAGTGCCTTCTTGGGGGCGCAGCGGTTCCCGTTCCTGCTGGGAGGCGACTGGAATCTAGAACCCGAGGAGATCATGGAGATGGGCTGGCTGGACCTAGCAACCGCCACCATCTTCGCACCTGGCCTCCCAACCTGCAATGGCAAGGAGTATGACTACTTCATTGGCTCCCAGGCTCTGGACGCCTTCCCCACGTCGGTGGAGGCCAGGGTGGACTCGCCGATTTCGCCACACTGCTACGTGGAGATCAAGCTTGAGGGCCTCAGGGATGAGCCTTTTGTCTGGGTTGAGGCGCCTCCGCGTGCCTTTCCGCTGGCTGATCAGGAGGCCAAGAGGAAGACCAGGAAGAAGGATATGTGTGCCAAGGAGACCGGTCTCACCTTGACCACGGAACCGCCAATGGTACCTGTGCTTGACGAGTGGCAGCTGGACGCCCCCGTGAGCTCGGTCGAGGAGGCGGCAGCGAGGTGGTTCCACGCGGCGGAGAAGTACCTGGTGCAGTTGTTCGAGATTCCGTCCTCGGACAGGAGGTTCTATGTTGGCAGGGAAAAGGGCGTGGTTCTCAAGAGGAAGAGGCTGGTGGATTGTGCGAAGTCTATTCTTGAGCGCCACGACGAGTCGGACACCAGAGCTTGGTTAAGCGCCCTCAGGCTATGGGATGCCCTATGTGTAGCATCGTCAGCTCCGCCTGGTTCGAAAGCAGGCAGACCAGAGCACTCCACGAGATGCGAAAGGCAGCTGCTGGCCTTGAAGCTCCCTGAGGCCATCTCGGATTCCCCCTCCCTGCAGGCAAAGGAGGTCCAGAAGTGGGTCGCCTTGGCCAAGAGGGGAGGTCAATTGTCTGCCTGGTTTCGGACGGTGCTTGCGGAGGAGGTGGAGATGCGCAGGCGCAAGGACTCACAAGCCAGGAGCAAAGCCTGGAGAGAGTTTGGCGAGCTCGCAGCGGATGGTTCTGGCAGGATTGCGCACGCGATCTCCAGGCCCAAAATGTTGGAGGAGGCGCCCACACTGGCCAAGGGCAAGGCCCATGGGCTCGTGGGAGCTGCGGCGATCACGGCGGTGCTGGAGGAATGGGAAGAGCTGTGGATCTCTGACGACAGGGCCCAGGAGGCAGCGCCGTCGGACTGGAGTTACCCGTGGAAACTCGACCAGATCTCGGAGGACCAGATCGTCCAGGTCTGCCGCTCCTTTGGTATGTCCACTGGGCTGGGCTGGGACAACTTTCACATGAGGTTGGTGAGCTTCCTGGATGGGGTTTTTGTGCGGAGGCTACAAGAGATTTTATCAAGATGGGAGCGCAATCCGCACTGTGAGCGCATGTGGGTCACGATCAATGTATTTCTGCCTAAGCCAGGAGGAGGCACACGCCCGATAGGGCTCTTGTGTTTCTGGGCACGTATTTGGAGCAGATGCAGGAGGCAGTATGTCAAGAGTTGGGAAGTATCTGTGGATGCGAAGTTTTTCTGGGGAAAAGATGCCACGACCAGTTGCGACAAGGCGGCGTACTTGCACAACATGCTGGCCTGCTACGCCAGAAGGAAGAGGATGTCGGCCATAACTGTGTTCTATGACATCCGCAAGTTCTACGAGAATGTCAGTCATCAGCAGCTTAGAGAAGCAGCAGAGCACTACAACTTCGACGGCGCCTTGCTGAAGGCGCTCTGCTGCCTGTATCGAGCGCCACGCCGTGCGCGATGGACAGGGGGCACGAGCAGAGTCAGTCATCCGAATGGTACTATTGTGGCTGGCTGCAGTGCGGCAACAGGGGTGGCGAAGCTGATGACATTGTGCCTCCTCAAGCGCCTGGCTGAGGAGACGCCCCCGTGTCGTGCGCTGAACGTCGTCGATGATTTGACGACGCATACCATCGGAGGCCCCAGAACGGTTGTTGAGAACACGGTCAAGAGTTTCGAGATCGTAACATCGGAGCTGGACTCAAGGAAGCTGCCGATTAATTGGGACAAGACGAGATTCATGATGTCCGACCGCTCTCAGCTGTCTGCGTCGATGCAGGATCCCAGGTGGAGTCTTTCGGAGGACAAGCTGGTCATCGCCCACCGCGACCTCGGCGGCGACTCGCTGGACGGCAGGGCGAGGAGGGTCGGCACGCAGGCTTCGAGATGTGAGGCCGCCAGCAGCACGGCGCGTGCCCTACGTCAGCTGGGGCAGAGTGAAAAGCATAGTAGAGTGTTTCGTGTGGGAGCGCTGGCTAAAGCTTCCTGGGGATCCCACATTTTGGGGATCCCGCCGACCACCCTCCATAAGCTTAGGGTCCAAGCGGCGAGATCCTGGGGCCCGCTTCTTCCTGGCACCTCCCTG